TAACCCAAGGGATAAACACAAGACTTGAAGGTGAGGCTAGATCAAATAAACTAAGAAAGATATGACATCCGTTTGGGTCTGCGAAACCGTTTGCCCCAAAACGACTACTTGCGACCTTGATTGATGGTTTCACGTATAGCAAAAGGCTATACGTGGACACTTATGCATCGGACATAAGCATCGAAAATCGAACCAAGAAACAAGGAAAGAAAAGAACAAAAATGGGGTGAGAGAGAGGAGACGCCAATCCATCTAAAACATCGAAAAAGAGATTGGATCAGTTCTCAAAACTCGTATCGAAAAGACCTGAAAAAGTAGGGCCCAAGTTCTTTCCCAACAAACATAAAGGGCAGACTCACGCTAATTTTCCCAAACCTCAAAGACATAGGATTGATCAAGTCCACCAAATGCTTTTCCAAAATGAGGTTTAACATCTCCCAAACTTCAAAAGAAAGTGACCTCGGGGAAACCACCACCGATATTTCCAAACTCATACCAAAATCAACATCCCCACAACCTTCAAATTAATAAATAACCTCATAAATTAAATGAGCACGAAACCTTCCCACAGAACCGAATAACTGCTCAAGGCCGGGGTCAATAGAATAGAGAAAACAACATTTAGGGCTCTCGGCCAAAGCAACCCACAAGGGAGGTAATCACTAAGGCTCACGACCCAAGGTGACCAAAAGAACTACTAATGACTACTATGCTTCCTTGACAAACACAAAAGAATAACTAAGGTAATTATAATTTTTGGGATGACAAACTTGATCCACCAATAACATTCAAGCCGATCGAGCCTAGCAAGAAAGACCAAATCACACCCAATGACCTACAATAGGCCTCACGGGTAAGGGCCAAAAGGGTAGGTTGATTCAACCACATCACAAACCCACGACTAGGTACCAAGCAAACATCAAATTGCGGCCTCATAAACTGCCAAATCAATCCATCAAAACCAAATAACAGCCTTCGAATGGGGTCAACACAACACATCCAAAACTGGTTCTCGGGTAAGAACCGAGACCAACAAGAATACAAAAGAACCAAGCCATCTCTCGGGTAGGGATTAAAATCAGCAAAACCATCTCTTGGGTAGGGACCAAAGACAAGCAAAGCAAGCCATCAAAACTCTCGAGCAAAGACAAGTTTTAAGGACTCAATCATGGGCTCTGGAGTAGGAGCTAAAACAAGCAAACAAAGCTCCCAAGTCATAAAAGCCAAAACCGAGCCACAGCTAAGGTTCGAATTCGGGTTACAACAAAAGGATAGAAACATCTCCACACCCCCAAGACATCAAAATATAGAACTAACACATGTTTTAAGCAAGAACAACCATGGAATTCTCCCAAAGAATTCTCCCAAATTAACATAAGTCCATTCATCACTTGTATATTTAAGCTAAAACACCCGTGGCATGCCAAAATAGAGCCCAACAGGGGCCAAAACCGAGCCCAACAAGGGCCAAAACCAAACCCAATGGTATTAAAATTTAGGCCTCCATAAAGGATAGAGCTCTATTCATTTCACTAATTTATGTCACTTCCAAAAACCAAGACTCCAAACCCAACCAAAACCGAGCCCAACGAGAACCAAAAGCCAAAACCGAGCTCAACAAGAACCCAAAAGCCAAAGCCAGAGCTCAACAAGATTAAAACAGGCCCAAACAATGATGTAAATTCACACTTTAATAGAAATTAAAGTTCCAGCCACTTGTAGGTAAAACCGAGCCATCCAGAGCTAAGAAACAACCTGCATGTCTAAATGTCCCAAGCATGAAATTATTCCAACAAATATTTGAACAGGAGAGGAACTTCACGAGGAGCTAAACCAAGCCCTCAGAACAAGCTACAACACTTTCCACATTAAATAGATTTT